GATTTGATTGGCCTTCCATTGAAGTCACCACTTGCACACCATCAGATTATTTATGCCCTTCCTATGTTAACGATCGATGCAGACAAAGGGACTGGGATTGTGACTAGTGTACCTGGGGATGCTCCTGATGATTATATGGCTCTGCATGATTTAAAATCGAAACCAGCTTTTAGAAACAAATATGGTGTGAAGGATGAATGGGTTGTGCCCTTTGAGATTGTACCGATCATCAATATTCCGGAATTTGGAGATAAGGCTGCGAAGAAGGTCTGTGGTGATCTCAAGATCAAAAGCCAGAATGAGAAAGAGAAGCTAGCAGAAGCCAAGAGGTTGACATACTTGAAAGGGTTTACAGAAGGAACACTGCTCGTGGGAGAATTTGCAGGAAGGAGAGTCCAGGAGGCAAAATCGTGGATAAGGAGCAAACTAATGGAGGCAGGAAATGCAATCATGTATAGTGAACAGGAGAAGCACGTAGTGTCACGGTCAGGGGATGAATGTGTTGTGGCTCAAACAGAGCAATGGTACATCTCTTATGGTGAAGCTGAATGGAAAAATTTGGCTGAGGAATGCTTGTCGAGCATGAACTTGTACTCTTACGTGACACGACATGGATTTGAACACACGTTAAGTTGCTTGAATCAGTGGGCTTGTTCACGATCGTTTGGGCTTGGAACACGTATTCCCTGGGATGAAAAATACTTGGTCGAGTCGTTGTCTGATTCAACCCTTTACATGGCTTCTTACGCCATTGCTCACTTTTTACACGATGGGGACATGTATGGGGATTCCACCACATCTGGGGTTATACCTGAACAAATGACCGATGAGGTATGGGATTTTATCTTTTGTGATGTGCCCTTTCCAAAATCATCTGACATATCATCATCAATTCTGAATAAGATGAAGCAGGAGTTCGAATATTGGTATCCATTTGATCTTCGAGTGTCTGGTAAGGATCTCATCCAGAATCATTTAACATTTTGCATTTACAACCACACGGCAATTATGCCCAAGAAGCACCTCATGCTCAATTCTAAGAAGATGTCCAAGTCCACAGGGAATTTTTTGACATTGCGGCAGGCAATAGAGGAATATTCTGCTGATGCCACACGAATGGCTTTGGCCGATGCCGGTGATGGTGTTGATGATGCAAATTTTGTATTTGACACTGCAAATGCTGCCATCGGACGACTCACTAAAGAGATTGCATGGATGGAGAAGAGTTTGAGTGCAGACTCTTTGAGAAGAGGTTCTCCTTCTACTTTTGCGGACCATGTCTTTTTGAATGAAATAAATATTGCTGTGAAAAGGACTGAGCAGAACTACCAGTCTTGCATGTTCCGAGAAGCCCTTATCACTGGATTTTATGGTCTTCAAGTTGCCAGGGATTGGCACGAGCTTTCATGTCGTGCTCAGGACATGAATCGAGATTTGGTGTGGCATTATATGGATGTAGAGACGCGCATGGTTGCTCCAATCTGTCCACACTATGCTGAATATGTGTGGAGGGAGGTTTTGAAGAAGGATGGATTTGTAGTAAGCGCAGGCTGGCCTGCAGCTGATGCTCCAGATCTAATCCTCCAAAGTGCCAATAACTATTTGAAAAAGTCGATTGATGTAATGAGGAAGAAGCTTAGAAAGCACCAGCCAAATTCTAAGAAAGCCGGTAATAATGGTGCTCCAATTTCATCTTTGGTAGAAGGGAAGAAGCTAATAGGCCTGATATATGTGAAGGAGCAATTTGATGAGTGGAAGGCAGATTGCTTGAGGATACTTCAGAATAACTTCAACATAGAGGCTCGAACTTTTGCTCCGGACAGGGTGATATTGGAGGCACTGCAGAGTAGTTCTTTTGGACAGGCTAAAGATTTTAGACAAATCCAAAATCTTTGCATGCCTTTCGTGAAGTCGAAGAAGAATGAGGCAGTTCAAAATGGGGCTCAGGCCTTAGATTTGAAGTTACCATTTGGAGAGATTGAGGTACTTAAAGAGAACTTAGACTTGATTAAGAGTCAACTGGATCTTGAAGAGGTAGAAGTTTTGTCTGCTGCCAACCCTGATGATTGTTCAAAAGCTGGTCCACATGTTAAACAGATAGAGCAGAATCCTCCATTCCCTGGAAGCCCAACTACCATCTTCTTGACCCGTGGTAATTGTAATCCTTTTGGTACTTATCTGTAATTTGTATCAGCACTCCATGCCCAACTTGGTCCTCTCTAGCTTGGATGTCCAATGGATCTGAATGTTTAATTTTGCATATTTTTTAAATTCCTCTTTCACTGCAGCTAAGGATCAACTACCCCATGACCACTGACTGCTCCACATTTTGGTGAGAATCCTTTTTTATTTATATGAGTTTTATTGTATTTCGGTGTTTGGGTTTGAATGTATCTCGTTGTTGGCAGAAAGTTAGGTTGTTTAAACCAACTAAATGAAAGTTTCAATTCGGTAGCTGTTTCATATTGATTACTGTTTAGTTTAAGGTTCAGATTTGGAGTTGCGTGTAAAACTCATTCTTTTCTGCATTTTCTATCTTGTATCATTTTAAGGATTTTGTTTGGTATTTTCATGTTTTGGGGATAATCCTTATTATCAGTTTTGGAGACCTAACAAATGTGACAATTAGATAAGGAAACCGTGATTAATTTAAGGGAAACACATCTCGAAGTTTGGTTTTCTGGAGCTGAGTGTGGCTTCCTTGTTGTCTTGAATGAAGCTTGAATTTCTTCATGTAATTATAATGATTGGATCTTTGACTAAGGTTTCTGTATTAATTAGTTATTCTTTATGCTTTTTGTAATTGCTATACTAGTAATGGTTATTGTTATAGTACCTGGGTTGGCAAATTAGAAACAGAACTTGTAGTGGGGCACCTGTTCCTTCATGATCCGAACTTCATATCTGTATCAAACGGTCTCCAACTTTCCTTCGTTAAGTTTGTCTTAGGCTGCACTAGTGGTAATATTGGCATTGGGATTGACTGCTTGTTGTGATCTGTACTTTATATATTCTCCAATTTGTCTGCATTTGTTCTTTGCTTTTATTGATTCCTGGCCTACTGTAATAATATCAGAGACTGAATCCAAGTGAATGAACGAGTCCGGGGTTTGTAAAGAGCACAGGACTATAAGAAACACTACCCTTCCACTTTTGGTGTTTGATCTTTATCATTTTTTATTGGAAACTTATGCCTCTCCATGATCAAAAGCTTAGCTGTCTTTGTACCAAAACATATGTGGTTGGTTCTGCATTATCATTTGAGGTGCTTTTACAACACATGCATTAGTCGTGCATTGTTTAGAATTGGACTGTATAGCTAGCTTACGCTTCATACATAATTATGACCAATACTACTCTCTGTATGCAGGCATGTTCGATATGAGAGTCCTTTTGATGAAGGAGTGGCGACTCAAATGGCATTCTCTAAGTACAGAAAGACAGACATGGAGACGTGCTCAAGAAAAATAAATGCATGCTCCTGGGGCAGAGAAATGAAAGACATTGAGAAATAGAATTGTTTATTTGAAGGATTAGTAATGCAGTTTTCTTTCTTTTTCTTTTTGAGAAGCAGAATTGTTTAGGAACCAAGTATTGTCTATCTGGAGACATAAAGTTAGGAACCAATTAAGTTATACATATGGTTGCCTGAGTAGTTTTTATATATCATACAAAAGAAGCTATATATAAACTGTTTTTTTTTAATATGTATTTTTCCTTATATATATGAACCATTAAGTCCGACGCTTTAACTCATGTTAAATGAATCATCCATTACTATATGAATATCCTAATTAATCTGGTGGTTGAGGATGTTGAGGAGGGAAACTCTGGTTTTGATCAAACACCTTGAAAGTTGTTCAAGTGACTCTTCTAGATCTTGCATGCACAACTCTAAATTGTGTAGTTGGGTTTGTGTATTTTCAATAATGTTATCAGATTCTTTTGTCTTGTGACCAACAATTGAGTGCAATGTTGCATCTGTTTCTTCTTCTTCTTCTTCTTCTTGTTTACATGCTACAACTCTTTTACGGTGCATCAAGTTGGAAACTAGTTGCAACCCACTTGGCTTCGATTTGTCTTGAGACTTGAGGTAAAAGAAAACATGGATTATGATTGGTATTAGGGTGGTGTGTGATAGAGTGAATTCAAGTGTACTGAGGGTATTCTTGAGACTTGAGGTAAAATATTAGGGTGTACTTAGATAATAGAGCATACTAAGTTAATTTTAAGGTTCGTTTAATAGCATTCTATTTTGAAAGTGATTTTTTCACATTTTTTTAAAATTAAATTTGTTGCTGATGAACGAGTGTTATTGTATAGGCTTTTTTTTTTTTTTTTTTAAAAAAAAAAAATTTCTAAAGGTTTTAACGAGGCCACTACATAATTTCTAAAGGCTTTAACGAGGCCACTGTATCGTGTCACTATTTAAATGCCTTTGGTTCTATGAATGAATTATTTTTCTATAAAAAGGTTCTTCTCCTCTTCTTTTTTTAAATTTTTTATTATATATTTCATCTAGACTTTCTTGCTTTACTAGTCAAACATTTTCAAATCTTCTAAATTTATAACACGATGATGAATCTCATATATTCTAACAATCTCATCAATTGAGGACAATCTAAATGAAACAATAAATTTAATATTTGTATAATAGAAAAAGTTTCTTGACAAATATTCAACTTTTCTACTATACTTTGTATAAACAGCCTCACATATACTTTTTCTACTATACAAATATTCATCTTATTGTTTCATTTAAACTAGCCTCTTGGCACACATTTTTATTTTTTATTATTATGAAAATTAATAAATATAAATATATATAAAATTTTATGTGTTTTCAATTTAAAATAAATGGAGAAAAAGAAGGAAGAGAGATAGAGGGTCAAGAAAGTCCAAACATAAGCATGGTCCCCAATATGACATAAATCAACTGTTATTTTCCACACTACATGGTCAAGAATCATTGGACTACAGTCTTTTTCTTTTTTAGTTTTTTCGTCTCTCTTAAGCTCAATTCAACTTTGGCTGGCTGCTCAGAGACGGAGAGAGAGAGAGAGCCTAAAGAGATGAACTTTGATTAATTGGTGATTGACTTTGACAGCATCCAATTCCTAGGTTCTCTCTCATCCTTCTCCACGGTTTCTTCTCACCTTGAAACTGTTATATTCTAATTCTTGTATGCAGATTTTTTATAGGTCCGATGATTTGGGAATCTAATAAACACCAATTCGAGTTTTAGAAGGTCTGAAACATACCCAATTTGTATTTTGTTCCTACCCTTATCTCATACATGGTGCTTCAATGCAAGAAATGAAATTTTCGAGGCAAACCCATTTCAGTTCCAGGTCTGATCTGTAAACTTTTACTGTCTTTGGTTGACCAGAAAAAAGACAAAATTTCTCCATTTTGGTTTTGAAAAGGAGGGTCTTGAAGGAGTTTCAAGGGTGGTCCACTTAAATTTTTCTTGCCAACTTTTATCTGATTGTTTGCTTTTGCTTCATAGCTTCGTGTATGTTGTGAATCGTGAATTACGCATATATAGATATAGATTTCTAGCTCTGTATTGAATTTCTTGTTATTAGTTGAATCATCATGTCCTCTGAATCCTGTGGGTCGAGCTTGCTTCTGGCTCTGTCAGATGATGTGTTTTCTATTGTCACCTGGTCCCTCTCACCTAGAGATATAGGCAATCTCAGTCTATGCTGCCGTAGTTTGTATGCACTCATGGAGTCCGAAAAAGTGTGGCAAATCCAATGTGAAATGGTTGGAATTGTACCTCTTCAAGACCTTGTTCAGTGGCGTAAGGCCGTCTCATCATACAAGGCACTTTGCCGCTTTCTCTTTAGTGTTCAGCCACTAATGGGAATATGGGTTCATCAGAATCCAGAGCTTGGCAATGTAGTCTATGTCATGCCAGGTTTTGTTTCTGTTGTTGGGTGCCGCATAATACCTCAAGAACTCGGGCCGTTAGGCATTGAAGACGGCCCTATTCTGTGGGCTCCTGTATTTGAAATTATTTGTGATTTTGATGGCTCCACATCCTTTTTTCTACATGGAAGGGAGAAGGGACATGATTATGTGTATCCTGGTTTTGTGAAACCTATCGGCAGGTCATGCAATGTGCTTTTGCTTGAGATCGAGCCTAGACTACATAAAAATCAGGGTAAATCATTGCATTGCAAGAGTTTTGTTCACAACTCAGATAAGGAGTCGTCAAGGAACATTTGTAGGTCAAATAGTGGACTTTCAAGGTCCCAGAGGGTGTTTGGACAGAGTGAGACATTGGTGCCCTTCAGTCGATTGGCTTTCAGTGATAGAAGAAAATTACTTGATGTTATCACGAGCCAGATTCGTCTAAAGGTTCCTGATGCAGCAGTTGGGCCGCTCTTTCCTCGGTGGAGGGATAATGAGGAGAACTTCCAGAAGGATATGGTGCTCTTATTGGAACGAAGATCAATGATTATTCAAATGCATAAGCTTGGTGGAGGTGACATAGATTTGAAGGCAAGTAGTCTGCTGCCATCTGATCCCACTCAGCTGCAATTGAGTGAGATCAGAAAGAGTCTTGATCGGTTAAGTGTTTCTCAAAACTCTATTAATGAGGAAGACGGTCACAGACAATGCAACAGGAGGAAAACTCTTAGCAAGTACTTTAGGGATAGCCTCAATCAGATCTTTGGGAAGTCAGTCGCAACCACTGCAAACTCAAAGACTAGTTCTTCAAGCAGTGAGAATAAGCACGCATCCCTTGAGGATTTTCTGAGTTCAGGTGATACAATAGGATTGACTTTACATGCTTCACATGTGAAGTTATCTTCTTATCGAGCATGGCCAAACATGCATGACAGTCGATTTGCCATTTACAGATTGCCCTTGCGGATCCCAACTGCGGAACAAGAATATGCTGGTTTATGGGGAGGGACTTTTGGTTGGCCTCCTGGGAAGTCGTCCAAAGACAAGCCTGGAAAGGCTCTCTTCTTTCTTTTGCTTTCTTATGAGGAGTGCCGGGGGCAACAACTTCTAATTGCAACCAAAATATTAGAGGGTACCCACTATGTTCTGCATCCTAATGGCTCAGCCATGTTTGTAGTTAATATCGATGAACCTTCATTCGATCCATTCCCTTGGGATACTGATGCAGGTGCAGATTCCCTTGCTGTGAATATTAAGCATGTTTTTAAAGGGGAGGGTATTGCAAATGGGTATGGGTTTAGGTATCCAGGCTCGAAACCGGGTTCTCTCTTTGTATTTCAAGATGGTCAACTTGCCTTCATTTGGAATGAGTCTAGGGCTGTCTTGACTTTGCAGAGGCTTAACTTGCAAGAGCTTTTAAAAAAGGGCGAAAGGGTGCCTGCGCTACCTCCGATTGCTAATTTTTCATATTTGACCAAGTCTTACTCAAATGTCTTTGCTGAGTTCCCAAACACCTCAACTTCTTGGGTGTCATCAAGGTATGCCTTATGCCTTGCCTCCATTGAAAATGCTTGTACTAATTTGGGTCTTCCCCACTCCCCTAATTAATTACATAAATGTTGCCTCCTTACTTATATCGTTTGCTAAACTCTATTGAAACAGGGAGGAAAAATCTGATCCCTAGGTGAACACAATAGATGAGGCCTTCTTGATACACATGAAGCCAAAGAAAAAGTAAGAATACAAAGAATTATTAAAGAGAAGATGTGGTGGCTCTGTAACTTCTCTTTTCTTCTGTATGATAGGATTTTGCTTGCTGTGGTGAGTGCTGAGGTTTTCAGCAAGATTATCTCCTTGTTTTAACTTTATTTTGTGGCATGAAAAAAACAGTATTGATTTCATCATGATTTATTAATCGTCATTGAGAAATGAAGGAAGCCAAAACGAAATAAAACTCAAGGTTGTTTTTTTTACATGCTCAGATTAGAGGTCTAGAGTTTCATAAAAAATAAAAAGAGAGAATATAGAGAGGTACAAGGAGGTTATAACATGAGATGTGTTTGTCCTCAAAGTTTCTTTATGTTTTTTGGCAAAATAAAGGACTTTCTGACCTTTCTCAAACGTTTTTCGCAAAATTTTCTTATCACGGAACATATTCATACGGTCCTTGTATGTTTTTAGCACAAGCAAAAGCATCGTTCCTTATTCCCTCTAGTTCATTGAGTTGGAGTTTTCTTTGAATTCATGCTTTGTCTAGAGTGAAATTAGGTTGTTTGATAGCTCAAAAAGCTCTATGCTCTAACTCAACAGGCAAATGACATACATTTCCATACACAAGTCTGTAAGGGTTCCAATGGGAGTTTTGATTGCAGTACGATAAGCCCATAAACCATAAGTGAGTCTTAAAAGACCAGTCTTTCCTAAAGATATTTGAAAGAAGATCCCCAAAACTAATTAATATTAATTAAAAAGGAGGATAATGATTTTTATTTTTAATCGGAGCGATAATATATTATCGAGGCAAAATTGCATAAGAATTTGGAAAAAGCGGACATTGTTCAAAAGGATGAGGTGAGTGACTCTACACATAAGGGTTTGGTCGTTCGATTTACAGAGTAGTCTACTTTCTTTAAGAGCACTTCCACCAGTTAGTCCCTTGCCATGGCAAGGGGAGCCCTAGGGTGGGTACTATTCACTTGAATAGTGCCTGCCGTAGGGCAAAAAAAAAATTGTGTTTCCAGCAATACAAGGCTTGCCATGGCAAATACTATTCAATTTTTTGTTTTTTTCACAACTTTGTTTACTTAAACAATTAATTTGGATAATATTTTCGGATAAGATTTTTGGGTTCCTATGTGTCCATACTATTCATATCGGATCAGATTTTCGGTTTCAAATTTCAGATAAATTTCAAAATTCAAATTTCAGATAAATTCAAAATGTCAAA